AGAGAGAGAGAGATTAGAATATTAGAATATTAAAAAAATATATAGATAATAATTTAATGAAACTTCACACACAGAAAATATATTTTTATACAATGCAATGTTGCGAAATCATGGCGAACATCTAGAAGCCAAGAAACCATCTGTTATTACTTATTATTAGTATCATACAGTATACTATTATATATCTATGATAACATAGGTAACTTCAACTCAACTACATAATGATTTCCTCAAATTTTCTTTAATAGATCGCAATAAGCCGAGTTCTTGAATAATAAAAAAATGCACCGTGAAATGCGTTGCTCGAGTTCAGATACGGTTCGAGGGACACTCGTGTGGGAATACTGGTTCGATTCTTGTTGCTCTGACAAGTATGTTCCGCGCGTCGGTGGACGTTCGCTAAGATTCTTTCTTCCTTTTTTGCTTTCATTTGCTGATATTGGACGAACGTTTGGACAAACATGAAGACGAAACTGTCGCAAGGGGCAAAAGGTATGTCTCGCTATGATAAAGTTTATCGGAGATTGATGACGCGCAGATGATTTATGACAAGAAATCTTAATTTTAACGTAAAATTTCTCATCCCATTGACTGCGGCATGTATGCACCAACCAGTTTTGTGCAGTATAAGTTAAAGGCAATACATTGGAATGATTGGCATTGACTAAAGCAATTGTAATTGAGTTTTTTAAACATTATTCTAATAATATGTTTTTGTCTACAAATAATTGAGTTCATTATATTCAAAAGAATTCAAAATCCTATTGCTAATTATTTCTCTAATATAAGATAATAAAAATATGCAAATGAAAAAATAATCGAAAAATAAACATAGTCAGTATTATTTTTCGGTAAAAATAATTATTTATACACATAGAGATTTAAATATTATATATGAATAACTCCTACAGAATTACTTAAAAGTTACTAAATATTTGATTGAAGTTGAAATCGCGTCAAATATTTTAGCGTGACATATCGTAATTGACGATGATAGATTCGAAAAAACGTATAAAATCAACAATATACTATATAAAGGCGCCATCGCGTGATGCGGTTTACCTAAGGTTTAACCGAAGGGTGATAAATCTAGAATGAATTATCGCATTGGACGTTCGCATGTCTACGGCTCTCTTAAGCGCTTCCGAAATCTTAGCGACGATCTCGGAATGATTCCCATTCCTAACAACGTCACGTAGCCCTTAACGTGACGTCGTGTTATCGTGGTCGTTTGTTACGTTTCTACGTCCATCTGTTGCACACGTAGATTTTCGCCGGCGATGACGACGACGGTTTCCTTTACCGTCCCTGCGAGCCTAACGAGCTACATGCCTTCTTCACAGCATTGTTGCGACTGCATTTTGTGTCTATGCGTTAGCAAAAACGAGTTGCAGAAACGTTTCTTCGTTGAGCTGACAACTATTGGCTCTGTAAACTTTATGAATCTCATAATTCATGTCAGATTTATCAGGCCAATAAAATTATATGACATTTGAATTCAATATTTGCCGGTTTGATTACATATATGTTTCAATATGTTTCAATGCTTTTTTAGTATAAGTAAAACAATTTATAATAATATTATAACATGAATTACAAATTTCATATATAATCTGTTATTGTTTATTTATAAAACTTACAAATAATGTTTCTATAAGCTAATTTTCTAATTTAATGAAAATAAAATTCAATAGAAAATTTTTAAGAAATAATTTTAGGCAAATAAAAATATAAAAAATATTATTTAATGTATCATTTATAATTAAATTTAGCAAAATGTTAATTAATTATAGTATAGTAATTAATAGTCCTGTTAATACACATATTTTCATAAATAAATCTTAATAAATTTTAAAAAATTCAGATAGTAAAATCAAGTAAATAATAAGATAAATGCAAAATATGATTTATGTATTTATTTGTAAAATTTATTAATTTTTATTGTTTTTCACAGTTTTTCGAGTCATATATTGATTGTGTAGATTTGGTGTTTCCAAACATTTAAATAACTTTTCTGAAAGATTTTTTTCATTTAATAGAAAATAACATACTTTCTAATTATAAGGAAAAGATGTGTCGATATAGTTTTTTTTATTGAATATATTATAATAGCTGTCTAGTAAATTAATAATCAACTTTAATTATACAGAATAAAATATAAATTTCCGTAGAATCACATGGCACGTCTTGCACGCCTGGTGGGTTAAGGTAATAAACACCGGCTTTTTACTGCCTGATTTTATAAATGTTAGTCTCACCATTTCCTTTTCTCGCACACACCACACATCGCGATGTCATTTAGAAGCACGCTTTGCCGTTTTCAATTTTGTGTGATCTGTCATAAATTAAACGTTTAACGAGATCAAAGATCATGACGATTCCTTTCCCAAATTAGTACTCATAAAAATCATGCAGTTACATTCCGTCATGTAATATTAATTTATTATTAAAATTCTTTGCATCTATTAGATCCAAGACAAAAATAAAAATTGTTACCTGTCTATCTGTTTATTACATTGTTTATCGATGTCATATCAATAATTTATTTTTATCAAAATAATACAATATAATATTTTATTCCATTAGTATTAATTAGCATTAGTATTATTATGAATTAAATAGAAATTAATTTATTGCATTTAAATAAATATTAATTGTTAATATTTTGCATTGTATTATTTTATCATACATGTTAATAATTGATATTAATATATTTTACGAGTGATTTTGAAATTAAATTGAAAACTGCAAATTCAGCGATTATTATAAGCAATTTTGTCTTAATTTGTGACTAACAGCAAAATTTTCATTTATCATGCAAACGTAAGACCATAAATTAGGAATTACAAATAATTTGAGGTATCAAGGCGGATCAGGATCGATTCAATCGGGCCAATGAAAGGGCAGACAAAGCTATCGATTGTAATTGCCGGCAGTATAACGATCATTTGTTTTACGAGCAGT